ACCCACCTTTCTGAGGTAGTTTGGGAAGAACCCTGGGACCAAGTGTAGACTTTGTGTTGCTTGAAGTAGTGCTGGGAACAGAGAGTTCACATGTAGTCAGATAAAAGGGCCGTGAGCGGACACTCTCCGGACAAAAAGGCCTGAGCGGGTACCTTTGCTGCTGAGGAATGCCTTCAAACTTGTTGGAAACGGGGGACATCTTACTGACCGGAGGAGGGGTGGAATCACTTCCTGAAACATTAGCAGTCACCAGGACAAACAGATTACTTGACAGAGCCCTGAAGGAGGAAATAATTTTATATAAATGTGGAAAATAAATCAACATGCTGTGATGGGTAAATAAAACAATGAGGGGGGGCTTCTTCTGGCTGAGCTCTCTAATGAACTCCTGCTATTTGGAAACTCTGGGTGGAAGTGCTGTCATTAAAACAGTGTTTGGGGCTTCAAAGAATGTGCGACAGAATGTAGAAACATAAAAAAGGACAAATGACACAAGTAAACACCAATAAAAACAGCTCGCTTATTTTGGGACTAAAATGAGTCTTATCAATAAGGAAGAGATTATTTGTATGATGAACCTAAAGTCGATAATTTGAGAGAACGTTGGTGCATTACCTTTAATCGATATTCACGTATTTCAGCCATAAATTGGCTCTTAAAATTAGAGATGTGTTTTGATAGATATGTATTCTGAATATGCATTTAGTTGTAGAGTTAAGCTACAGTATAAAGCAAAGTGTTGAGCTTAATTTCCTCAGCAGCCACACTCCTTTAACATGTTCTCAAGGCTTTCTGAAGGTCCATTTAAGTTTGTCTTTTTTGGGTCACTGGCTTCTTTTTCCCTTCATTTTCAATCCAGTCCATGAGCTTGACTCATTTAAAAGGCTGTTTTTCAGGCTATTTGACACTTGTAACAACACTTAAGAGACAACTCACCAGTTTTAAATAGTATCTTTAGTCTGTTATACAGACAAAAGGTAATTTAGTCCAATTTCTTCAGTTGTATTTATGAAAATGCCCAAATATATCATGGACTGACCCAAATACAGGACTGTTTTTGTAACAAGGTGCTTCCTACAGAGCTACTGAGACCTGAGAGACTGATGTGAACGCCCAATGACAAAAGAAGTGGACTGAAAATCAGAGGAAATAGTTCTTAATGGACCAGCTGCTCCTGGTTTTTCTGGTAACGTCTAAAGAAATGACGGCAGGCACTGAATGTTTTCCAAACCCTACAGACGGGTCCAGGTTGCTTGCTCACACAGTTAAACCAAAACGGTTGTTGATTAATGATGCATTGTTCCGTGGCCACGAAAGAAAGGGATATTTAGCCAATAAGCCTCAAATAATTTTGTTCCCACTTTCACTTAGTGTTGACTTTCTTCTTAGACTTGGTCACCCGTTATTGAGTCATGAAAATATCAATACCTGAATCTACACGCGATTAATAAAACACTAAGTGTGTGCAGCTATGTGAAAAATGTCAGCTTCTTTTGTTTGCAAAATCATCCTAAATTAGAAGTCCACCTCTAAGTTACTTCTTAAGCTTCTAACTACATCTCAATTATGCTCGTGGAGTACTGGAGGGGGGGGAAAAAAGCCAGAAATTTGAGTTGAATTGTGTCATTTTTTTCTGAATCCTGAGAAACCATCTGTTTAGGTGTGCTTGCTCCTCACCCCCGGTCACGCCCCCTTTACTGTGTGGACTGTGAGAGAGCGGGCTGGGTGGGTCGGACAGGGTGCGTTTGTGTCCAGGAGGGGGGGGCGGAGGTCTCTTCTTGGACAGGGTGGAGCTGCCTCCCGGGGTGAGTGTGGAGGGAGGGCCGGATGGGGGAGGAGCTGGAGGAGTGATACATAAGACACATGAGGTGATGAGGTCCACCCGCAGGAGGGCACATAAATAAATAAATCAACCTTTCTGTTGACACTCAGAGCAGGAGGAGAGGACAGTGAGAGGTGTAGGTTGGAGGAGGAGGGGGGGGGCATCAAAACCAGATAACGAATGACAGTGTTTGAATGGGAGAGTGTGTGAAACACTGAACTAGTGAAATATCCCAGTAAGATTTGGAGTGTGGGCTTTGTTTGTCTGCCTCTTCTGCTTACTGGTCAATAAAGGAGGAAACAAGTAGGATGAGAGAAGCTAACAGAGAGCTCAGCCAGAGAGAAATCAGCTGTGGTTAAAAGTTTGCAGCTCAAGGATGGCGACGCGTCGTTAAAGTTTGATAAAAAAAAACTCGTGTAGGCAAGAAGGAATTCTCCGGAGAATCGGCTTTTGCCTACGTGGTCTCATTATTAAGACAAAAGGAACGCCGCCACCCTGCGCATCTGAGCTGCAAAGGAGGAAACAACTGAGGGATAAGGGGGGGAGAACATAAAACAAGATATTCACTGATGTATGGTCGGGTGCCAGCCAGTGTGGCGTAGTGCGAATGAGAGCCAAGGAATGCCAAGTGTGGAGCTGAAAGAATAGAGAAACAAAAAAAGAGAGAAAGAAAACAGAGCGAGATGAGGAGTGTGGGAGAGAATCTACAAGCATGTCAGTCTCATAAAGAGCTGCTCCCACACATTGGAAAATAACAAGATGAAATATTATCAGTGACAAGCAAAGCAAAGAGAGGAGAAACGGTGGGGAGCCGGCGCCCGCTGGGGGGGGGGGGGCCCTGCCGAGCGGCATCTGAACAGAGAGCGTTTTAAGGAACACCTCCTTGTTTCCAGCACTG